TCCATGACAATAAATTGTTCCCTTTTAGAAAACGAACGGGAAGGAGGTCTAGAGACTGCGGCAACGACATATAATTTTGGGTTGAAATTGGAGTTGTTTTGTGTAAATGTACTTAAATATTGAATTGCTGTTCATGATGTGTAGTGCTGTTTACCCAGACCGTAACACAATACCTAAATGTGAGTACCTAATGGATCCTCTTCCAAACTAGAAAGAAAGAAAAAAAGGACCTATTTCTTGGGATTTTCATTGCTTTTCTTTAAATACACCAATAATATCCACAATTAAATTACGAGACTCGTTTCCTTATCACATAGTGATTAAGAAACTTCGCTTTGTATTGTTAACTCGTCGATGAATGAATTTATCTATTTAACACTGTTTAAATCTTTAAAATCCGTGAGAAACTTTAAAAAGGGTGTTTAACCTTTGACAGTTATTTGACGTTTTTTGAATCAATTCTTTGAAAATTTATTTTATATAAACATCAACATTTTATTAAACTTATTATCTAAAAAAAAAAACAGTTTGAAAAAGTGCTGACTTTTTAGCTTCTAAACATTTATACTCCTTTTGATATTTTTATGTCATACGGCTGTAAGTAGGCGCAATGAAAAGCTGGTGTTAAAGCACAATAAAAAAACAGAACTTTTCATAACCAATAACAAGAAACAAGCTGAGATATTGCAGCGGACAAATCTCCCTTGCATTTTTCTGTGGCGATATTTTACGAGTCCCATTAATGTTTTAAAACTAATTTACTTCTTCACTGTGTATGCCATTTATTAATCGAATTATGAGAGTTAGATATTCTTCTACAATGTATTCAAGTTTCAGCTCTTAATGTTAATAAACAATGAAAATATTTGCAATTTCTTAAACAAGAAAGAAAAATGCTATTTGATTTCCTCTGGGCCATAGAAGGTTTTAGTTTTTTAAATGTTTTTTTTATTAGCTTTATATTGAGCGTGCATACAAGTGTATGACATAAAAATGTCAAAGTTATTAGAAATTTTTATATGCTAAAAATTTGTAACCGATTTTTAAAAATAAATTTAATATAATCTTGATGTTTTTTTTTATAATTTAAAACGAAGCCATAAAAAATCGATTGATATTTACAAAATATCCCTAGAGTGACTGTTTGAACAAGGATAGTTGTTTAAATAATCGGTCTCCGGGATAAACAAATTAAATAACTCATAAACTGTATAGTCGTTCTGTATGACATTTAGCACACTTTAAAAACCCAACTCCCATAATTTTAAATAGTTGTATTACATATCGGTATGCAAAAAAGAAAGTTACTAACATTTATAAATTATACTTTAAAAATAAGGATTTTTAAATTATCTTGGTCAATTCTTTATGTATTTTAATTATAAAAATCTCAATATTAGAGAACATTTTATGATCTATAACTTTTATTTTAACCATATATCTCTAACATATATAAGAAACGTTTAATGCGCAAAATTTTTTCACTTTTTACGATTGTTTAATAAAAAAAGCAAAGCAAAATTAGCTAAAGTCTTCACATAATTGTCATCAGCTACCCCTCATCTACCTTCTAGAGACGTTAAATACCTGTTTAAGATTGTTTCAGCATTTTTAGAGTTGTAGATCATAAAAACTTATGTAATTTTTGAGAGTATCCAAATTAAAATACATGAAACCATTAACCGAAATAGTTGCATAAAAACCTTATTTTTGCAGTTATTTATAAATTATCATAACTCTTTTTTGCGCAAAGACATGTAACATAGCTCCTTGAAATTACGGAAATTAATAGGTTATTAAAGTGCGCTAAATTTTAATTAATCAGATAGAGCCAATAGTTTATAGGTTATTTAATTTGTTTATAAACAATTATAATAACTTTGATATCGTTTATGCCACAAACTTATATAGAAGCTTAATGAAAAACTGGTGAAAAACACACTTTCTAAAAAAACAGAATATTCTATGTCCATTACGAGCCAAGAGACCATTCTATATTTAAAACCATAGCCTTTTATTCTTAAAATCATAATTCCATTGTCTATTAACAGTAAGAGCTGAAAATTGAAGGGACTCTAAATGAAGATCTGAATGGTGCGATCCAACTTACAGATGGCATATGAAGTAAAGAAGAAAAATTTATAACTCGTTAAAATGGCGGTATTGGTAAAATACCGCTTCGAAAAAATAGAATGGAGACCCATCTGAGCTCGGTTATATTTTTTTTTGTTTTAAACCTTTTTTAAAATGAAGCGCGCTTGCAAAATTTGCAATATCTTGGCTTCTGTGGCACGTAAAACATTAATTTTCTTGAAACTGGGGTAGCTCAACAAAGAGTTGTTTAAATAATCGCTTTCCATGATAAACAAATCGTTATTATTGTTATTAGTTACATTACATACCATTATGCAAAAACAAAGTTAATAAAATTTATAAATTTCTGCAAAATCAAAGGGTTTTGCAACTATTTTGGTGAATTCTTTATGTATTTTAACAGAAACTCGCAAATGGAAGAATTTTTTAAGATCTACAACTTTTATTTTAAGTATTTTTCTCTAAACTGAATAAAAAACGTTTTATAGGCAAAAGAATGATCTCTCACTTTTTAAAATTGTTGAAACAAAAACAAACCAAAATCACCTGTATGTTTTCACATATTTATCATTACCTAACCCTTATATATTTTAGAACCTTCAAATATCTGTATAAGATTTTCACGTGAAATCAATGATTTTTACCAGATGGACTGGTGTATAAATTAGTTCCCCGATAAAGATGAACTTATTTCTACTTTTCAATACAATAATAATAATAGTGATATTTATTCACTAATTTGTTTTTCCGAAGTTTATTATATCAATAATTATAATACCAACGAAAACGTAAAATTCAAATTAATGCATCTCGAATATGATGCGTGCACCGTGGCGATAATAAAAATGATGAATGAAAAAAAATAAACATTTTTTAAGTTAATTACGTAACGGAAACGGTGTAAAATACAAGAATACAAAAAAAGTTTGTTTACTCACCAGAATGTAATATCCAAGTTTGACAAGCCGAAGGATATTTTGTCGGAAATCTGAACATTCTCAATCCATGAATTTTGTATGGTGATAAACCACATTTGTAATAACAAATATTTCCAGCCATCTGTAAAAAACTATTTATTTATTATGGAAGTAACATTATTTTAATTTAAAATCACTTTCTTTCAAATATTATCGAATGTATGTACCTACTATCCGATAAAATTTATTTCTAAATACATAAATAATTTTGTTCATGTCTCATACAAATGTTTTTTATGTTTTTTTATGTTTTAAACGTATAGAATTAAAATGTTTTACTTACCTTCAACCAAATTTTTTAAATACACTTCCAAATAAAATAAAATATTTAAATTCTTTAAACTTATTTAGATGTATGAAGATTTAGAAGCCAAGGTATGTTTGTGTACTATTTTAGTTGACACGATATTTACTTGTCGATAGTAATAATTATATTTTAAATGAATACCTTAACTTTTTCACATAGCACCATCTAGTATAATGTATATCAAACAAACAATGATAAATTAAAATCTATTGAGACAGAAAGAGTGGTGACATCTAGTGACTGTCTCAATTAGAATCAAACAAATTTATACATTGCGTTGGCTAACTAGTCCTATTTAAACAATGATAGAACACGTTTTTCCTTTACGCTAGCACGGTACGACTCTCGGGTTGTATATCTCTTAACAGAATCAAACGCAGTAATCTTAACAGGATCAGCAGACCTATCAAACTATGGCACGAACAAGCCTTATATGTATAGTAAATTTGTTCACCAAGAAATTATCAGAACGATTTATTGCTAGTAGGAAAGTTGAAAGGAAAAAAAACTGAAAAATTGGAGACTCTAAAAAAGTGTCAAAGTCAGTAGCACAAAAAAAGAATATCCAGAATACTAACTAGAATATGTTATTGTTATAAATATTGTCACTTTCAATGGTGAAGCGGATTCATGCTTCACCTCTGAGTATGTTTAGTACTTGAATTATATGTACAGGTTTCAACAACAGCCCACCTGGTGGTTTCGCCTTTGGGTACCTGTAGTACCTTGAGTTATCGCGTATAATACTTCACACACAATCCTAAATATGTTCAAGTAAAACAAAAATTTATTGTTTTCTTTCAGTTATATGATAACTGATACCGAGCAACCTAATGCTTAATACTTTTCGTAAAAGATGACACAAAAGGGAACCATATCTTAAAGTCAATTGATAAACTTCCAGTGCAAATGTTGAGTTTCATTTTAGACATTTCAAGTGGTTTTAAAATGAGATTATTTCTTAGACTTAGACTTAGGTACAGTTATCAATAAAGTTGCAATTAACAACTTAATATATCCAGACAAAATTGCTTTGTAAATAAGTAGAGATGCTCTACAGACATGCAACATTAATAATACATGATCTGGAATATCAACTACATGTATACTGTGAGAAAGACTTTTTTTATCACTGCAAACAGACGCCGGAGGTAAACATTTCCCACAGTGCTGGGTTTCTAAAACTAAAAGCCCCTTTAGAATCACGTCGACCAGCTTGGTCCTGGATCGGACCTCCCCGTAACTCCGATGTGGCCAAGACCAGCTAAATCCCTCACCTCTCATACTAGGGCATCGAGTTGGGATTGTCTGTTAGAACTGCGAGAAAGACTGCAATCTTTGATAGGGTGGAGATAAAAGAATGTTAAAAATTGCGTGGACTGCAAAAAACACTAATTAGTATGTAGTAAATCAAATGTACAAACAATCATCAAGAAGATTAAATTAGAAAATTTTAGATATGCTACTTGTATAGTAAATAAAAAATATGAACTATCAGAACTAATAATTGGAGGCAGAAGACAAAGTACCTAATATAGTCATTAATAAGCAAATGTCAGAAAATTCTTTTGAAAATATTATTATTAGTTATTATTTTAAGAATATGTATTGGCAAATTTTACCTATAAGCCTCACGGCTTCCTCATCACTTATTCCATCCTCTAATTTAAACTCAACCAGCGGCAGTAATTCAAAGCTAACGAAGGAGTACACAAACTTTTCACCGCATTTGACACAATTATTTGTTATAGTCGACAATGGGTTGTATGTCGAACAACGGTAACACATCGGCAATAGTTCTTCTGGATCACTGTATGGTTTGGCTCTGACAGCAATCGTTGCGATTTCCACCTGCTCTTGAAATTTAAGTGGCACTCTTAGATTAGTAATCTTGTCGAAAAGTTGTTTTGCTAATTTGTTAGCACCTAGTTTCTTGGCCTAAAAACGTCAGTCATTAAAACATTTCAAAATAGATCCAAATTGGCTTTAACTATGAGCAGTTTACGTATTTTGTTTTTAATAGAAAATCTAGATTTTGGTCCTGTGTACTATTTCATTTGTCTTAATTTAAGACTAATTTGAACTTTTTTTAACTTGAATACATGGCTTCCTTGTTAATGTTATGTAAAGAATTAATCCCACATATTTCACCCATGTACTGATTGAAAGTTGGGTTGAGTTTACCGAAAGTACAAGCTGAATATAGCCGCAAATGTCAAAAATATTCCGGTTTGGCAATGTTTTTATAATGCATGTTTTATGCTTCAAATATTAAGAGAAAAAGCTTTTAAAAAGTACATTTTGATTATACTATTTAATGAATTCTGCAATTTTTAATTTACATGAAGCAATAACGAGTAGATATTTCTCTCATTCGAGATTAATTGCAAATATCTTTTGTAATCTAGCAACTGCTGATTTGACGATTGCCAAATCTATCCCGTAATCTATCAAAGGGTAATTGCTAAAAAAATTTCTAATAATTAACTGCAATTAATCTCCAAAAAAACAAATATTTACTCATTGTTGTTTCATATAAATCAAAAATTACAGAATTCATAAAATAATATGATGATCACCTATATGGAGAAGGAGAAACCTTGATGACCTTCAATCCTTAAATCGGAGATAGAAGATGCCATTGCAGCACTAAAAAACAATAAGTCAGCAGGTCCGGACAATGTACCCTGCGAAATATTAAAGATCCTATGTAAATCAGACAAACAGTTCCTTGATAATCTAGTGGTACTTTTTAACAACATATATAATAGCGGTAAAATCCCGGAGAACTGGCTGCAGTCAACATTTATTAGAATCCCGAAGAAACCAAATGCCCAAATCTGTGATGACTACCGGCTTATAAGTTTGATCAATCATGTCACTAAGGCGTTCACTAAGATCATTCATAGAAGAATATATGATAAATGTGAGTCAAATAGATCGCAGTTTGGTTTTCGGAAAGCACTTGGAACTACAGAAGCAATTTTCGCTCTCCAGATGCTTATACAACGGTGTAGAGACGTTGATAAGGACGTGTATTTGTGCTTTGTAGATTTTAGAAAAGCATTTGACAATGTCAATCATGAACAATTGGTAGATATTCTGCGAAAGACAGGTATTGACGACAAGGACATTCGAATTGGGGCAAACCTATACTGGGGTCAAACAGCAAGAGCAAAAATTGGCAACGAACTCACTGAAAGTATGCAGATTAAAAGAGGTGTCCGTCAGGGGTGTATATTATCCCTACTCCTATTCAATATGTATTCCGAGGAAATATTTAACAAATGTATGGAAAATGCAAATGAGGGCATAAAAATACGGCGAGTTAACGAACAATATAAGATATGCCGACGACACGGTGATCCTTGCCAGTACCATAGACGAATTACAACAAATAATGGAAAGAGTTTATTCAGTTAGTGAGGAATAGGGCCTGAGCCTCAACTTCAAGAAGACAAAGTGGATGCTGATAAGCAAAAAGCAACAACCTGCTCGACAATTACGAGCAACATATTAAGTAACATACTAATTGACCATGTAAAATCTTATGTGTACCTTGGCACCAACGTAAATGCAAAATGGGAACAGGCCATAGAAATTAGGGCGAGAATAGAACGAGCTAGAGCAGCATTTAAATATGAAAAAGCTCCTCATAAGCAAGGATTTGTCTCTTCCTCTAAAACTACGTCTAGTTAAATGCTACATTTTTCCGATCTTGCTGCATGGTGTGGAGGCCTGGACGCTGACGGAGACGCTCACGAGAAAACTAGAAGCATTCGAAATGTGGGTGTATCGACGCATTCTTCGTATATCCTGGACCGAACATGTCACCAACATAAAGGTACGCCAAAGAATCGGAAAGGTGAAAGAAATCGTGAACACAATTAAACAAAGAAAGCTTGAATATCTAGGCCACATATTGAGACACGATAAGTACCGTCTGCTGCAATTGATTGTCCAGCGAAAAATAGACAGTAAGCGAGGGCCAGGCAGGAGAAGACACTCGTGGCTCCAAAAACTGCGGAAGTGGTTTGGGCTCACAACTGCCATGTTAATAGCCAACGTTCGCAACGGACAGGGCACTTGAAGAAGAATAAGAACATAAAATAATATAAACAAAATGTATTTTTCTAAAGCTTTATCTTTTTATATTTGAAGTATACAGCATCTACATTATAAAAACATGCCAACACTGCTAAACCGAAATTTTTTGTTCCATGTTTGACATTTGCGGCTATATTCAGCTTGTACTTTCGGTAAAATCAACCGAAAGTTGTATGCCATTTATTGTCATATCCTCCTTTGAGATTAGCGAATTGATTTGTGTAGAAAAACTCGAATACACTTTTTGTCACACAGAACTGACCAATATATTTTTCATTAAAAACAAACCTAATTTACTAACGGTTTTCATTTATTACCTGTTTGGCTAGCGTGTAGAAAACAGCGAATGTTGAAACTCCTTTAATCCTATGTTTTTGTCCCGTTGCTTCAGTCATCAGAAATCTTGATATATTAAAGAGAGCTTCTGGCATATATGAGGTAAATGGTTCTTCGAGGTATTTGTGGATCGTATTATATGCATAATATATTTCTGCCAGCTTTTCGTTACTTCTAAAATAATTTAAATATTGTTCTCTTTTTTCTTCATGTTCTCTGGACATGTCGAGGTATTGTCTTGATATAATCCAATAGTAGTAGCTTGCATCTTGAAACCTAAAAGTCAAAATATAAAACGTATATAGCAATTAGAGCAAGAGTATTAGAAAAACCAGATCCAGGGATCAAAACCAGGATGTAAAGAAAGCAAAAATAAGAGTAATTCACACATCCATCCCATGTCTATGGTTGGATCGCTATATTTAGATTTTCTTGTATGTAATATTGAAATTCCAGGGACAGTTAGAATTAAGTTTTCGTCTTTCAGGTCAGGACCATTTCTTTTTTGCACGACCTGTATGTGGGTTCATCGCAACGTTTTTTTCTATCTGTGTACACAACTTTCTCAGGAACAAGGGAAGGACGTTGGTTACAGTACCAAAAGGCAAAAACAAACAGCCAAGTTGAAATTTAAGCACAGCCACTCAAATGCTCAAATCCTCAGTTAAAACATGAATCCGTCGAAACTACGCACGCATTAATGTTTATTTTAGATATTAGAGAAGGGTTATTTCTTTATTAAAAAGAAAAATGAACATGAATTGTCAAGAAAATCCCCTTTTAAGATTTTGTGATCTTCTCTGTTACGTTAAAATCAGTGTCCCAGTTGAGAAACCTTATAAAAATGACTTACCACTAGTTCACTATTATGCTAATAGAGAGCCTCCCTCCTATCAATTGCAGGTTTTCGTCACAATGATATTCAGAAGACTATCAAAATTAGGCAAAATTATCCATAGACACCGTTTTATTCCCATGTAAGGAGAATTTCCACTTTTACAACAATTATTTTCGATGGAGTTGTACTTTTAGTGGCGGTCAGAAGGGCCGTATCATTTGCATGGAGTGGAATATGGGAGGTTGTTATTTCAAATGTCACTGTTGTATATTATGTACAAGAATGGGGCTAAAATGGAATCTTGAGGAGCTCCTACTTGAGGAATTGAGTAGAGAAGTGAACGTAATTGTAAAAGAAGTCCGATATTCAATTAACTTCCTGATCAGTCAGTTGTGGTAGATTTGGTTAAAAAGCTTTTGTACATCTAGGAAGTTGTCGATAGTGATGATATTATCTTTCATTTATTGGGTGATACATATGGTCAGGTCAAATAATGCCTGTATGAAATCAAGAAAATCAGTGAGAGTCTCTTGCTAGGGTGTTGATGAATGAAATAGATCTGTAGGATTCCATCAATAAGGGGTTTACCTAATTTTGGTATCATTATTGTGTGAGCTATTTTACGTGCAGCAGGAAGAGTTTTTTAAATAAAAAACAAACACATAACGATTTAAAAAAAAATAGAAAAACAAATTATAAAAATAACTTACGATACAAAAGCAATTGAAACTAAAGATATTTTTACATACCTGCACTCACTAACGGCATTATCCGTCAACTGTATAAATACTTTAAAAGCCTCTTGTGATTTTCCAGCCTTATGAAAAGCTTTTTGAGCTTCAACAAACTTATCACTTTCAGCCAACCAATGAGCGTACGGTACATAAACTAGAGCGTTGTACTGTGGTTGATCGCGAACAAGGGCGAATGCTTGCTTCCATTCTTTGGCTTCGACGTGTAATCGTAATACGGCTTCTGAATCACCAAGTCTTCGATAAATTTCGGCAGCTGCTGAAGAGTGATTAAGGCGTTTAAGGTGTTTGGCTATTGTTAGGAGTGTCGATCTGTCTGATTTTTCCAATTTTCTCGCCAAATCTATTAGTTGATCGCCCCACCTGTATAGAAAAAATAAAACTTATGTGGTTTTTTTGAAATAAAAATGTTTATCTAGAAGACGAAACATTTGTCATTCTCTGACAAATTGATTTTTATTATATTTGATTGATTGATTATATTTTTCTCAATTTAAATTTCCAATGAATACTACTGCCCGCAAGATAATTACCCAACAAACAAGGATTTGTATCAGACCAGTATCTGGCATTCTGACGGTGAAGGTCGCAATTTAAATAAAATGGTTAATTTTTACAAACAAATTTTAAAGTATAGGATAATTTTTACTATGTAATCAGTTTAATAAGTTTAATAAGCTTAGATAAGCAAATATCATTGGTGTAGTATATTTTTGGAATCAGATTTTGACAAACTTTCAAAGGCAGTGCCACATGACCAAAAGTATAGGATACTTTTTACTATGTAATCAGTTAAATAAGTTTAATAAGCTTAGATAAGCAAATATTATTAGTGTAGTATATTTTTGGAATCAGATTTTAACAAACTTTCAAAGGCAGTGCCACATGACCGATTTACTATGAAAAAAATTAGGCTGTGGCTGTTACATGTTTATTGAAATACTAATAGTTCGATACGGAAAGAATACCATAGATTAATACTCCGATAGAATTCAGAGCATTCTATCAGGAAGTTAACATTAACAGAATCGAAATCAAGGCAACCACAAGATGCAGAAATCAGAATGGCGACCTATGGCGAACAAGGAAAGATGTATTGAACAGATAGGTGAAATACTTAACCAGGCACTTAATATAAAGAAAGAAGAACAAAACCTGGAAGAAGAAAGAAATACGGTAAAAGGAACAGATGAGAGGGAAAAGGAACCACCAACGATTCTTAAAGTTAAATCCCTCCCCAATGATTGGAATATTTTAATACTTTGCACCATACACAAAAAAAGGAGATATCTTTGAATGCTCTAAATAGAGGAATTACGCTTCTAAATGCAACGTATAAAATATTTTCCACAATACTATGACATCATATTCAAAACGGATAGTGTAGCGTTTTTTTATTTAAGTGTATAGAAAAGATTTCTGTGTTACGTCCCTGTTGTTTTTACCAAAGAAAACAATCGAAATAATATTTCAAGTTTTTTTGACGAGATTTTTAAATGCGTATTAACGCTGGAAATATGTTTTTATCTCTGTGTTGCAATGTTAGGTAAAATAACAAGTTTTTTGTCGCCAAAGAGGTATTATGTTAAAACGCAATAAACCATGAATTCCCCTAATATTAAAGTTGTTTTTCGTTATTAGTCGAGGGTCAAAAGAAGGAATATTTGTTTGTTTAGGCAATAAAGGAACATTTAAAAGTTGTTTTTTTGTCGATAAGAGGAGGGAATATTGGTTTTGGTTCTTGAGTTTGTGGGGACAGGTTAGCTGCAAGACGGAAGGGAAATTTTTGGCTGAGTTTCTTGTAAAATGTAACGAAGAGGAGTCGACATTTAAGTTCCAAGCGGGGCAGACATGGACAATTGAGACCAAGATTTGATTTGAAAGGGAGTCGACATTTAAGTTCCAAGCGGGGCAGACATGTGAGAATTGAGTAAAAGATTTGATAAGGAGTCGAGATTTAGATTCCAAGCGGGGCAGACATGTGATAAAGAGTCGACAAATTTTGTTAATTAGAGGAACAATTACCCTCTGTAATAAGACAGGTTTAGAAAAGGGTAACTACTAAATATTTAAAGAAATATGATATAGGATGTCCCCGTAGTCGGCTTATTTCTTCCGCTAAGTTCCTGTTCCAATCGTTTTGTCCTGGAGTGTAGAACTAAATCCTGATGGTTGCTGCCTTCCAGTTTTGAAAGTTTTGTCCGAGTAGCTTCCCCAGAGATGTAAAGTTTCAAAGTGTTTGTATAAAAAAAACATTAAGGTAACAATTCAATATATTAATCTTTCAAAGTAAAGACAGATATTTTTTGGCTAAAGTAATAATTGCTTTCATTCTTTGTCATCAAAATTAAATGTGATACCTGACAGCAAGCTTAATTTGTTTTTTTGTTATGACAATTTTAATTTAATTATTATGTAGAAACGATATTTCATATATAAGGTTAAATTTATATGTTTTCATTAAGAAGGATCCTTAATTTTTTATAATCTAATTGGCCATAATATAGTAAACAAAGAACATGTAAGTTTTTGTTATTTGTATTATGTTATATGATATGTTTCTTTTATAATATGTATTTTTGATCTGTTTTGTTTGAGACAAAAATAAATGTTTAATTTGTTTCTCTGATCTGTTTTGAGTTTTATTTGAAAAAGATATTTTTTTTCTATATTTTTTATGTTATACAATTATTTCCCTAGTTACAACTAGTGGTTGTAATAGGTATAATTGGGCACCTCAAGTGGCGCCCTATATTAAATTTCTTGAGGTGTTTCCGTTTATTTTCATTCTGTTTGTCCCAAGAGATTTGTATAAGTACCCCTTTATTTCTTTTCTTGTAGTTGCCCCAATCTAACCCCCAATATCTTCAACTTATCCACGACCCAGCTCTCCAACAACCAACTGAGTGTCCGTATGCACTTGTTTCGATTATTTTGTTTGCCCAATCTTGTCCCCCATATTCTTACCCTGTGGTAAGCAAAATAGTCGTTACAATTTTGGTGCCCAACCTAGGGGCTTTAGAATATTTCCATTTCTTTTAGATTTTGATTCCTTTTTCCCAAGCCATTTAGATGAAACTTTTTTCCTTTTGAATAAGTGCCCCAATTGTCTCAAACATATTTAATTGTAATATATTATAATATATGTATTTTGTACCAAAATTTATATTTGTGTATGTTAACATATGTATTGTTTCTTATATGTAATGGTAAATGAAAGCAAATATTTGAGTTGAATATTTAAATATGAATTTTTATTGAACTATTGATATTGAAAAGAATTTAAAAACAGTAGCAAATTATACAGTTACTGTTACATTTATTTTTTTATTGATTCGACAAATTTTACAGAATAATCGGTTTTTGTAATTTTTTATTTGTTGGGTCATTTTGAGTAAATGTGTGTATTCGTTTGAGTGACTTTTGAGCTATGTAGTTGAGAAGTAGTATTATGCAGTTTGTCTTCTAATTAGCGTCTCTGAAGGTGTATTTAAATGCCAAGGGTTAATTAATGTTGTTGTGCGAGGAATAGTCATTGTGAGTCCTAGAGAAGATTCGACAAGTTTAGTCTCAGTAGTAGACTGTTTGTTTATTGTGTATCCTTTCTTGTATCTGAATGACCACAGGTGTAATATTTGTGATCAGGAGATGCTGTTTTAGTTTTGACTAGGAGCAGTCTCATTTAGTTTTCGGAACAAGAGTTGGTTTATTTTGGTGTTATTTAGTATAGCTCACTCAAAGGTCAAGTTTTCAATATTATTAGTATTTTGTCTTTCCTTGTATGTACGGTTTATGTTGTTTGTTAGTGTCCATGTTGTCTCATGTTATTTGAAACCATTTTTTTTAGTCCTTGTTAGTGGAAGTGTGAACTTTTAGGAGACAGGTTATAGACCTCATTTTTATTTACCAACTGATTACTAGGTCAAGAGCAGAAGTTGCAGCAAACTGATTGAGTTTTGGATTTCAGTACGCGGGAGTGCAAGTGAGACTTACTATCAGGTGATAAATGGAAACGGTTGTTTCTTAAAATTGTCATATTTTCTACTTGTTGTTGAGGTTGATTTCAGTTATTTTGTGTGTTTGCTTTCATCCAATTTTTGAAAAATGAAGTCTACCCAGGTTAATTATTTGAAATCAGGAGAGTTATCTTATGAGCTTTTCATAAGAGGTAAAACTGTCCCAAATAAGACAGTTGATGATAGGAGAAAGATGTTAAGAGCTTTGTTGGCCAAGGAGGCCACTTTGTCTTCAAGTTTAGTCGATTTGGTTAGTAATGTAGTAGATCCTGAGAAAGAGTTGTGTGAGATTAAGTCGATTGTAGAAGATTTATATAGTTGTGCTCAATCAATAAATGTAGAATCAACCAAAGCTGATTTTGCTAGATTTGAGACAAGGTCTTCACATTTAGATACCAGATTAGAAAATTTTCCTATGAATGATGTTGAGGAAGATGTATTAAAGTTTGTTGAAGAGTGTAAAGATGATTTGTTGTTGTTACAGGGTGATGTGTTAGAAAAACTAGAAATGTCTGATGATTTAGTAAAACCATCCACTAGTAGCACAGTTTCAGTCCCTGTAGTTCCCAGCTGTACAGTCCCAGTCCCAATAATACAGGTTTCAACTCCTGTCATTATTTCTGATTTACATATTAAGTTTAATGGTGAATGTAAAGCCCTTCCCACATTTTTAGAGAAAGTTAGAGATTCTGCTAGGTCTCGGAATATTTCCGAAGACATCCTGTTTCGCTCAGCCATTGAGTTATTTGAAGGTAATGCTGCTATTTGGTATAGGAGTGTTAGAGATAAAATTAATAGTTGGGATGAGTTGGTAGCCCTACTGAAATCTGCTTTTTTGCATCCAGATTATAATGATAATCTCTTTGATGAAATTAAAAATAGAAAGCAAAAAAGGAATGAATCCATAACCATTTATTCAGCAGTGATGGAAAACCTTTTTAAACGTTTGGAAACATATCCTAGTGAAGCCCAAAAAGTGAAGATAATGAGGAAAAATATTTTAGTGGACTACATTCCACTGATAGCTCTTCAAGATTTTGCTACAGTAGAAATGTTAGTAGCAGCTATAAAACGTTTAGAGCAGAATGTCCTGCCCTTGTTGCAGACTACTAAAGGTCTTGCAGGTATTTCGATTGATGATTCAGAAAAGCCCAAAGAACAAGTTCATGTGGTGAATAATCAAACCAAGCAAGATAGAAGTGGAGTAGGTAACAGACAGGACAGAGAAAATTCTTATAAGAGACCCAATCCCAAATATAAATATGAGAATAATAGACCCAGTCCACCAGAGAATACTGAAATAAGAAATCAGTCTTTTTCTTCCCCACCCCCAATGATGCAATCTTT